TCAGAATCAGCCCCCCAAAATGATTGACGGTAGCACAGGGAGAACAGCGGTAGATGTGAAACTGGGAATGTACGTAATTCAAGAAAGACCTGTTGCATAAATGTTTGCGGTGTAGAATGCATCTCGATAACATCGGAGCTGCATATCGGTGGTGCAGATGACCGTTTCTTGCGATTGTAACAGATTCAACGTTGAATTTTGCGCACAGATGCACTAGCCAGAACACTTTGGCTCTGTTTCATGCGAAGAAGATGTGCATCAGGGCAGAGCCTCGACGACTTCCATCCTCGATACTGCGCAGCCTCCGAACTATCATCATTTCAACAGTTGATCGTCTCACTACTATTTCATTCAGCACATTTTGATTGCATTTTTGCAGCGTCGCCTGTTGGTTTTACAATCCAGACCTGCTTCCGGGAATTGTTTGTGATTATGGAGTGGCAAAACGGCCGTATTCTGGACGTCCTCTGGAAATGTGATACACTGTTGGTAGCCATACTACAGAAGTTGGATCAGCATAAAAATTATCTGCATAACACGGATGATCCATTTCTATGTACACATGAGGACGACCGAAAAGTATTTAACATGTACATGCGTATCAGAGAAAAAGCTGTAGCAGCTGACAAAGGTAAGCTTTTTTGGCTTTTTACAAATCCACTCACAGGAGTTGTTTCGCGGTGAAGCAGGACCTGAGGTAATGATGATCTGATATCACTGATCTGACGGTCTCTGATTCTGTTAACATATGTGTAAATACGTCAGGTAGGCAGTAGATTTTAAGTGGATTAATACTAAAACTCGACTCAGCTGCACAATGTTTGCTCGTTTTTGGGTGCAAAGTTTGTGAGACTGGGTTTTTGTCCGGATAAGTTCCAAAACTTTGCGTCCAAGATTGCTAATTTCCCTTCAGCACCATGTTTTAGACAAAGCATGAAAACCCCCCACAAAGCTCCCCCTCCCACTCTCCCTCCCCCATCTACGAATTCGAAGCCATTCCCCACCTTCAAGCGAGATCTCAGCGTCTTTGCAACCAATAACTTCGTTCTTCTCCCATCCGTTATGATCCCTAAGACCTAAAGAACCACTCTTGGCCCTTATCCCCCTTTTCCTTATCTCTACCCATCTGCCCCTGCCCTGCAGTCATTGTAGATCACCTTCTGACCCGGGTGAGTTGCCTTTTATATTTGGGATTGTACAACACCGGTTAGAAGGGTATATCATTACTGCTCCTGGCTTCCTAACAACATCACTGCAAGTAGCTCAATAACACTCTTGTAATATAAGATATTCATACTGATACTTGGTTGTCTTGGTGGCCTATATATACATTTCCTGTTTTGTAGTAATCCCTTAGCAAAGCAAAAAGAAATCTGTTTGTTAGTCAAG